TGGATATATATATACATATATTCAGAGAAGTATCCACATCAGATTTTATCTGTGGTGTTGAGCAGTCCATGTTATTTTATTATTTCTTATGCTATATTTCTACCAAATTAGATGATCCAAGCTCGGAGGCAATGAGATTGTGTCTTTCTTGAAAGGCTTGCTGACATTATTTGCAACAACATGACCTGGACTCAAATATGTTTTTTTGGGGTGGATTGTTGCTGTGTTACAACTAGTACCTGTTACACCTCTTTGTTCTTAACTTTTTATACACCACTTTTCTTTTGCATGTATGTCCAGGTTTTTTTGTGTTGAAGAGCTCACCAGTGCATTTATTTATTATCAGAATGTACCAATGTTCCTGGTATCTCTCTGATGGATTTATTTTTTTTGCTGCCTACAAATGACCTGTTTCACTTGCATTGAGCGCTCCTTTGACCGCATGTTGTGGGTTCACAGCAACAGCTTCCTTATGCAAATGCCACATCTGGAATCAACTCTAGACCATTTACCGGCTTAATTGCTGAAAAATAATGTAGGAATAGTCCACACCTGTCCATGAAACAGCTTTTGAGTTAATTGTTCGATTACTTTTAGTCTCTTGAAAAAGTGGAGGCTATATTAAAGAGCTGTAATTCCTAAACCCTTCTTCCAATTTGGAAGTGAATACCATCAAACCAAAGCTGTGAGACTGCACTTCAAGCCCATAATAATTATTTAACTGTAACTTGAATTTATTTTGGTAAACAGTCAAAATAACAAAACTTGTGGCAGTGTCTCCCACTCATACATTTATAGTTATTGGAAAAAGAAAGTACACCGTCTTTAAATTCTATGGTTTTACATATCTAGACATAATAACAATCATCTGTTCCTTAGCAGGTCTTAATGGCTTCTCAATTTTGACTTTATTTTTGTGTAATATGTCATATGGTGTTTATCTGAGGAATAAATACCTAATTTTAAAGGGACACTATAGTCCCCATAATTACTATAGCTTATTGTAGTTGTTCTGGTGAGTATAGTCCGTCCCAATGGCCTTTTAATATAAACAAGGTCTTTCCAGAGATTTGTATATGTAAACAGATTATATTTATTTACCGTATTACTATTAAATATTTTTATAAAATATATACAGTAAATAGGGTTGAACTGTGTGCTGGTTTGCTTTTAAGCTGGCCTATCTGTAGTGACTACCAAAAGTAGACAGCCCTCTACTGGACAAGAATGAGGGAGGTTCAGGTGGATGGATATTGTCATGTAGTGGATATTGTTTGTATAGTTGTGATGTTAAATAAAAAACCTACCAAATATATTATAATACTGTGTATAGAGAGAAAGGGATAGGAAGCTGTATCTTATCCCTGCTTCTCTCTGACTGAATCCACAGGGGAGCAATACATGCAGCCAGCAGAGAGAGCCTACAGGTCAGGGAAGTGAGGCATGGGGAGCAGAGAGAGCCTACAGGTCAGGGAAGTGAGGCATGGGGAGCAGAGAGAGCCTACATGTCAGGGAAGTGAGGCATGGGGAGCAGAGAGAGCCTACAGGTCAGGGTAGTGAGGCATGGGGAGCAGAGAGAGCCTACAGATCAGGGAAGTGAGGCATGGGGAAATGAGCTGGAAGGGACAGCAAGGAGCACAACAGGTAAAGTAGGAGAAAAAGCACAAAGGAACACAAATGAGCAGGAAGGGTCTGCAAGGAGCAGGAAGGGTCTGCAAGGAGCACGAAGGGTCTGCAAGGAGCAGGAAAGGTCAACAAGGAGCAGGAAGGGTCAACAAGGAGCTGGAAAGTAAAGCAGCACAAAGGTAAAGTAGAAGGAGCAGAAAGGGTCAGCAAGGAGCTGAAAATGGCAGCAAGGAGCAGGAAGGGACAGAATAAGCAAAAAAGTTGAAGTAGGAGAAGGAACAAAAATGAGCAGGAAAGGTCTGCAAGGAGAAGGAAGGGTCTGCAAAGAGCAGAAAGGGACAGAAGGAGCAAAAAGGTAAAGGACCATAAATAATCAGAAGGAGCACAAAGGTAAAGTAGGAGAAGGAGCATAAAAGGATAGCAAGGAGCAGAAAGGGACAGCAAGGAGCACAAAGGTAAAGTAGGAGAAGGAGCAGAAAGGGTCTGCAAGGAGCAGAAAGGAATCAGAAAGAGAAAGGAGCAGAAGGGGGAGCACAATAAGCAGAAAGTAGTAGAAAGGTAAAGGAGCAGAAAGAGCCAAGGAGGAGAGAAGACAGTGTCAGAAGAAAAAGAAGACTGTGTCAAATGAAGGAGAAGAAAATGAGATTGGAGCAGGAAGGACAAGTGAAGTGAATCCTCCACTTTATTCTGGACACCACATCATAAGGCTTTGGTACCTGGGCCTGGCAGGGAAACTTTGGACCTTCTCATCAAAAAAAAATATCAGTGTTAATGTGTTCACTTTTATTTACTGAGTGTCAGGAAGCACAGAGGGCTGCTGGGGAGGGGTGTGGCTGATTGGCTAGAGTGGTCAGCTGTCACTCTAAGCCAATCAGTAGCTCCCCATTCATAAAAAAGTAAAACATTTTTATGAACTGGGAACTAGCGATTGGCGTAGAGCGTCAACTGACCACTCTAGCCAATCTGTAGCACCCATGCCTGACATCAATCTGCACTTCCTGACACTCTGTTTCAGAAGTCGAATACCACTGAGTGATCTGGAAATCTGGAGCGGGAGGAAGCCTTTGGGGTTAAACTATTTGAGAGCAGTTTAACCCCTTAAAGGAAAGAGAGCACCCAGGGGCTTCCTGGCATTAAAGCATTTTCATTTAGATGAAGTTGTTATGGTGACCAGAATGTTCCTTTAATTTGCTTATAGGGACACTATAGTGTCAGGGATATAAACATGTATTCCTGACACCATAGATGTGAAAACGCTATTTACCCTGGCTTCATGTGATAATGACTATGCTCCTCCCCTTCATGACACTGTCAAAAAGGGACCAAGCATGGATGTCATTACAATTATGCCCCCCCTTGCAAAAATTCCTGCGGACGCCCATGACACACAGGGGAGCCGTGAGATATTTTCCCGGTGCTATGATGATAGCACCGGGAACTGTGCTCTCCCCTGCCGGCTCTGCAGGACCAGAGGGGAGATAAGAGATCTCCCTCTCCGGCCCGCTAGCACATTGCTAAAAGCCGGCATTGTGGGAGGGAGAGAGGACCCGGGGAGCTCTAACCTGCACCTCTGCCGTGTTCTTCTCTTGCGAGCTCAGAGCGTTGCCGCGGTTACCACGGCAACACTCTGAATCTCGCGATAGTGAACTCTAGCATCTCCTGAGGCTGCTAGAGTTCACTGTCACCACCAGGACAACCAGGGATTGCAGGAAATTTACCCCCTCCCATGCAAAGGTAAGCAGGGAGGGGGGGATATCATTTTTATTTTTAATAAAAAAAAAAAAAAATATATATATATATATATATATATACACGCACTGTAACCCTCATGCACAAACTGCCCCGCATACACACACACTCCACCCCTCACACACACACACAAACTACATACTTCACAAACACAATGCACCCCTGTACACACACACACGTACACTGCACCCCTGAACACACACGCACACTGCACCCCTCACACACACACTTATTGCACACCACACACAAACACTCACACACTCAACTGTTTGACTCCTTACCCTGGGAGGGCATAGAGGCACTACTTACACCATAACCACTACAAAGTAATGTAGTGGTTATTGTGCCTGGATTGTTTCTTTAAATAATCGACCAGTGTCACTCCCAAGATTAGGGCCCAGTATATGCCGCAGCGCTGTACATATATACAACCTAGAAATTTGTTTTGACTTGGGGTACCTTGGAAAAATATTGAAATATTAAGGGTGCCTTGAACTTAAAAAGTTTGGGAACCACTGTATTGTACACATATTTGACTGTTGACTAATCCCTCTAAAGTTCATTGTAATTAGGAAATTTTTCACTAATTTTCGATAAAAAAAATAAAGAAAAATGTGATTCCTATTATAATAATTTTTTTCAGGCAGGGTCAATTAAATACATGATACACATAAGGTTGTAACATACAGAGCTCTCCTGAGGACAATATGCATGTCACAGTTGACGTGTTACGTTATCATGTCACTTTGACTAGGTAAGTCATTAGACAGGGAAATTTAAGCCATTTGTAGGTGATGTGTCAGAGCAAGGAATAATAGCAACATGACTTCACAATTCATTCAGATCATAGACAGCTGGTAAACTTGGGAAGGGAGGTTAGATTATATTACAGTCATATAAGAGGAGATACATAATGAAACTAACAAGGGGAAATATATCTGTTCGGCTTGGGATATGGCGTTAGAGGATAGAAATTGTGTAGGAGATGACAGGAAAGGAGATAAGATTGTAACGTGTCATGGCCCTGCCTATAAAGCACCAATTTTTTTTTTATCATTTTAAGGCCTCTCAATGACTACTCTCACATTACCTGTTGTACACTTTTTAGTTGAAATCTCCATAGAGTTACAGAACTCATGCTGATGATACCACTTATGCGTTTTCCAAAACTTCTTATCTAGATGGTGGTCTTACATGCATTATGCCACTGGGCGCATTGTCATGGTGTTAATTTGTTTTGTAGTCTGCTTCAGAGTTTATTGAGGTTGATATTGTTTATTTGATCCGGTTTGGCTTACTAAATATCCAGATAGGTTTATTTTATCGGATCCTGCTTGTTTAGAGGACTTTGCATCAGTAACAAAGGTTATTTACAAGTTTAGTTATTCTAGTGAGTGAGTTGCTCTGCTACCATCTAGTGGTTGATAAGAATGCAAACATCCAAACAGAACTTCAATGCTAACTACACTAAGACAGTTTGAGAATTCTCAGTAATACATAAATGTTGTAAAAGTGAATTTTCAAAAAGGGCACCCTAATTATTCATATTTTTTGAATTGTTTTAATTTTTTTTAAAATAGCCAAGATAAATCTTATAATTTAAGTATAATCAACTAAAAAAGAATGTCAGTCATTGTCACAATGTTTTCCTATTTTTGCAAATACATTGTTTATTAATTGAATATTTTTTTTTAAATGTCTTGTTGCAAAATTGGTTTCCAATGGTTAATGTAAATTAAAGGGACACTTTAGGTATAATACCATTAATATCATTGAATTGGCTGTAGTGCCTGTAGTCCCCTGCAGCTATCCCTCCATTAAATGTTAAAGCATTTTCAGGTAGCTTAACACAGAATGAGGGTCCATGGCCCTTACTGGAAGTATGACTAAGGCAGAGATTACACACTTTCTTCTAGCTATACCGACTCATACCTGCAATGGGCACTGTGATAGGCTGAAAGAGGTCAGCTGACAGTCTCGGCCAACCACAGCCACATATTGCTGCTCAGCCTAATGCTTCCTCATGAACCCAATCAGGACAGAGGGATGGGCTGTTGGGGGATGATTGGTTATCATTAATAAATTAAAATGGTTTAATGCTGAATGGAAGGATGGTGCCTGTGGACTTAAAATACTATAACCAGTTCAATAAGACGGGACACTGTCCATTTAAGGATATTCACCTGTATATATAGAATATCTGGTGGCATAAAGTTTAGTTACAATAATAATTTTATTGTAATTTGGTCCAAGTAATTTTGATATTTCTTGTTTTCTCTCCTTTTTCTTATCCCTGTGGAGTTTTCCTTTTCTTTTGGATAAGTGTACACTGGGTTAAACCCCTTTTTTTTTAAAAAAAAAGAAAAATTCTGGGCAGTTTATTTAGGTGAGGTCACTAAGATAAAGTGAGGTCTAGGACGCAGTACCACCCACAAAATGAATTTTATCTCCGATTAGGGCTTGCAGGGATTACAGCAGCTTCACTCAGGGTTATAATGTGGGCTCAGAAGTTTGGGGCGACAATGATCAACAAGCAGGTGATTTATCCATCTGTCATAACTTACCAAGTGTTTAGTTGCTGCACTGTGTACACAAATTAGTTATTAACTTAGCCTTACATGTGTGATAGTAATTTTAAAATATTAAGATACAGCAGTAATTCAGACATTAAATCATTGTAGATATATTTATTAAACTGTGGTTAACATAACCTAAAATACAGAGTTTTGCTAAGATAAAAAAAAAATAATGTTAGTTACAATTGAGAAAAAAAAAGATCTTATGTCTGAAATAATCTACATGTACCAAAGAGAACACAAATTCAGTGACGTGCATTTTAATCATGTGGTTCACTGACAATTGCAGTGGTTGAAAATGAGTAAGGAGTCAGAAGTACAGCAATGGTGTAATGACGTTTCCCAGCATCATTGGCTGTAAACACAACCTGTAATGCAAATAAATAAATAAATAAACAACAGACAAACAAAACAGACAAATAAACAATTTATTTACAATTTTTTTTCAAAACTCCTGCCTACTTGATTTTAGTTTGACATTTGTATGTTACCTAAGTTTATTCTTGACCTACTATAAAGTAAGCTGGCTGAGTATGTGGTATGATGCTGCTGGTACAGCTGCCAAAGTGACACTGATATCTAGTTTCAGGGAAATGTGTTACATATTTTTTACAATAGTTGTTGTGTATTGTTACAGATGTATTATAAAACGGTTGTTTTTGTTTTTTTGTTTTTTTTTGTTATTGCTGCTATCAATGGCAGCAGGGTATTTAAAGGGACACTATAGTGCCAGGAAAACAAACTCATTTTCCTGGCACTATAGCTTCCCCCTCTGTCAAGGTCCCCTTTCAGTCACTTACCCGGGTCCAGCACCGATGTCCCTCGGTGCTTGCTCATCTCTGCCCATGCTCGCATTAGGATCTCCCCATAGGAAAACATAATTCAAATTCAAATCTTGTACTGTGTTTGTAAGATATTCCTATGATTGAAAGAACACTATAGGCACACAGATCACTTCATCTCATTGAAGTGGTCTGGGTGCAGCGTCACTGTCCCCTTAACCCTGCAATGTAAAACAGTTCACAGAAACTGCAATGCTTTCATTGCAGGGTTCAGACTGCCTTGAGAGGTTCTTCCTGCTCTGTGTAACAATGCTGGACGTTGTCATGCTGAGCATGAGGATGTCCAGCATTTTCAAATCCCCACATAGGAAAACATTGATTTAACGCTTTTTATGGGGAAGGCCTAATGCATGCATGGCACTCAACAAGCATGCACACTAGGTTCCTACCACGATGAGTTTGGAGAAGGCAGAGAAGGAACTAAAGAACTTCTGCACTGGAATCGGGTAAGTGTTTAAAGGGTTTTTATCCCTTTGAGTGTCATGAGGGAATGCGGGGGAGGGGGAGAGGGAGGGGAGGGAGAGGGACACTATCGTGTTAGGAATACAGCTTTGTATTCCTAACACTATAGTGTTCCTTTAAGGACTTACTGGTCTGACATTATTATTGCCTCACCCTGTGTTATTTTTTGCTTGGTGCCAAGAAAACATTTTTACCTCCACAGGAAGTAGGCATGCTTATCAATGTTAAAGTGCCTCATTGACAAATTTATTTCACATCTGTATTGATTTGAGCAGGGCCGGACTGGGGATACAAAGCAGCCCTGGAAAAAAATTTTGTGCCAGCCCCATAAGTCACTGCGCCATATATTGTCGCGTGTAATATGTAAGGCTATGTCTTGCCAGGACAGATGATTGAGTAATATATATATATATATATATATATATATATATATATATATAGCTTTTTCTAATATAAAATATTGGTCCTTTCAGGGTAAAACGTTTAATTATACAGTAAGCATACGCACATGCAGACACAGGCAATTTCACTGACATTTCAGTGACACACACAAGCTCATTGATACACAGCCTCATAGACAAACAATCTTACTGATATACATCAGCTCATTGACATAAAAACACAAGCTCACTCACTAGCAGGCACACGCATGCAAGCAAGCTCACTCACTAGCAGACGCACACACAGCTTAATGTGGTGGTACTGGTGTCTATAGCATGTCCCTACAGGCTTTTCAACGTAAACACTGACTTTTCAGAGAAAAGGCAGTGTTTACATTGCTTCAAAGTGACACTGCTAGTGACAGTCACTCAAACGGTCACTAGAGGTGCTTCCTGTGTTAGTGCACCTACATTCAGGGCCTCCACACTCTGTAGGTGCTGAACGTTCCCCATAGAGATACATTGATTCAATGCATCTCTATGAGGAGATGCTGATTGGAGTGGCGTTTTGCAGCCAATCCTATGGCAAAGCATTGGATTGGCTGAGATCATCAAGCTTGATGAGCTCAGCTATAGAGGCAGGGCCAGTCGAGGGGAGACCAGCACGCTGCGTGGGGAAAAAAAAAGGTGAGCAAAAACACTATTTTTAAACACTCATTTACACCATGACAGACACAGAAACACACATATACCATGACAGATACACACCCCATGACAGACACACACACACACCATGACACAGACAGACACACACCATGACGGACAGACAGACACACCATGACAGACAGACAGACACACACACCCCCCCATGAATGACAGACAGACACACACACACCCCGTGACGGACAGACAGACAGACAGACAGACACACACCCCGTGATGGACAGACAGACAGACACACACACACACTCCATGACGGACAGACAGACACACACACACCCCATGATGGACAGACACACACACACACCCCATGACGGACAGACACACACACACCATGACAGACAGACACACACACACACCCCATGATGGACAGACACACACCATGATAGACAGACAGACACACACACACACCATACAGACAGACAGACACCATGACACAGACAGACACACATCATACATACAGACAGACATGATAACACAGACAGACACACACACACACCATACAGACAGACAGACATGATAACACAGACAGACACACACACACACACACCATACAGACAGACAGACATGATAACACAGACAGACAGATTACTAATACCTGCCAGGGGGAGGTCTTCTGTGGGCCGCTGGGGAGGTCTTCTGGCGGCCGCTGGGGGACTTGTCCTGGCGGCCGCTGGGGGAGCTGCGCTGGCTCTGCTCTCCCGCCCTCGCCGCTGCTGAATGAGACCGGCGCCGGAATATGACGTCAAATTCCGGCGCCGGTCTCATTCAGCTGCGTGCTGGGGAGCAGAGCCAGCGCAGCTCCCCCAGCGGCCGCCAGAAGACCCAGGTATCTGCCCAGCCCCAGGTGCCGACGGCCCACCGGGAAATTTCCCGGTATCCCGGTAGGCCAGTCCGGCCCTGGATTTGAGTGTATACATTTTGGTATCTAACAATGTAACCCACCTAATTAGCTACCCTCACATTGTTTACATATAATCAGGGTTATCCACTAAAGTGAGAATTGTAGGCATTTCAAAGTAAATTTGAAATTAATTTAATTTTCAAGACCAAATTAGCCCAGTTGGAGAAATTACCAAGACATCTATGTGTCCATTTGGCTATATTGGTCTTAAAATGTAAATTCACTTTACATTAACTTTGAATTCCCAACAATTCTCACTTTAGTGTATAACTCTGAATGTGTTATGACAGCTTTTAAAGTACATTTCTCTCCCTCCCTCTCTCTCTCCCTCTTTCTCTCACATTCTTTGTACATTTCTTGGAAACTTGAATTCACTGGTGTATATCAAAATAATCATGTAAGAGCAACTCTCTCCTTAAAAACAGAAACCTGAGACATCCAAGTTTCAGGAACCTGCATTTAAATTGCTCTGAAGTGCAAAGGTTACTTACCCTTTATCAAAACATAACTTAAACATGCTAATTTGAGATATCAGATACAAAACACACATTTTAACTCTAGTGATAACTGGATGTAGACAAAACACAACAGAACACAAGTACATGTAAAAGTTCCACTCAACATCTAAGTGCTGTTGAATCCCTTTTTCTACTGTTAGAAATTAGAAATTGCAGTGCACATATTGGGGACCTGGATTAAAGTGTTATAAAATATCAGGCTTTTAGGCGAGGGTGTGATGACTGCTTTCCAGGCAATCTCTTACCAATTACACCCAAATGTGATTCTACTATCTATTATTTTCTTTTCTCTCCTTTTTATTTTCATTCATTCGTTCCTTCTTTCTTTCTCACTCTTTCTTTCTATCTCATTCTAGTTCTTTCTTTCTCGCTCTCTCTCTCTCCCTCCCTCTTTTTCTTTCCCTCTTCCTCCAATAACCCTTTTCTATTCGACTTTCTTTAGCATTCTAACACTCTATTTGCTGTACATTTTGGTACAAGCTCAGCTCCTTAAAAGGACACTCCAGGCACCCAGACCACTTCTGCCCATTGGAGTGGTCTGGGTGCCAACTCCCACTACCCTTAACCCTGCAGCTGTAAATATTGCAGTTTTCATAAACTGAAATAATTACATTGCAGGGTTATCTCCTCCTCTAGTGGCTGTCTACTAGACAGCCACTAGAGGGCACTTCCTGGTTTCTAGCACAGGTTTTCTGTGCTAGAGCGTCGCTGGACGTCCTCACGCTATGTGAGAAGCTCCAGTGTCGCTAAAATCCCCATAGGAAAGCATTGAAAGCATATTCAATGCTTTCCTAAGGAGAGGTCTGCTGCGCATACGCATTAGGTCTCCCCCGCCGGTGGCCGCGCATGCTCGATCGGCCTCCCCCACCGGATGAGGTCGACGGGGGGAGGAGCGTGGGCGGACCCGAAACCACTGCCGAGGGACATCACCCCTTCAGCAACATGGGATGGGTGGTGGGAGGGAGAGGGTACCTGCAGTGCCAGGAAAACGGTTTGTTTTCCTGGCAGTGGAGTGTTCCTTTTAACTGTATGTATACAGAACGATCCATGAAGTTTCACTTTTTCCATTGTAATGGTTATTTTTGTGTGACACTTGCTAATTTGTTTCTTTTTTTTTTTACACCTTTACTCTCTCTATTCAATTATACTTCTTATATTACATTTATTTGGGAAAAATTTAAAAGTGATTTTAGGAATTCAAAATACAAAACTTGAACTAGCAGATTGTAGTCTATGAAGTCTATCTAATTATTAAATAATGTACACTTACATCAACATATTCGTGAAACGGTGAAATGCCTGCTTTGCCCCAGTAAGTTTTTGTTGCAAATTCCACCTTGTATATTCCTTCAATAAAATGTTCATCATCAGTCAGATTGTGGATTTCTCCTTGTTCAGAGGTCTTTCTAAGATATACACAACAATCCAAAATGGTTTACTGAAAGATGTGCATTTAAAAAAAAATAATAACGTATATGATTTATTTTAATAATTGATTACTTGAATTAGATTGATTTGTTATTTTATACAATATTAATATTAACTCTTAATAGTGATGTCACGCCGGAACAAAATTATTTCTGGACTTTCAAGGTATTTTGTTAAGTGTGACAACAAAAATATACTTTGCAGAAAAGTAATGATGGGCCAGGCACTCAAGGTAAATCCAGTGAGCAGATTTATTGAAGCTTACTGGATTTACCTTGAGTGCCTGGACCATCATTACTTTCCTGCAAATTACATGGTGAGGATTGGCCAACCTCAGGCCCGGTGGTACCTTGGGAGTATCCATTTCAGTAATTATAACAAAAATATACTGTCCATGTGTCAGCTTCCTTTTTAAAATGTTAACTGTGTCAGAATCAAAAGATATGTAAAATAAAATAAGAATCACATTTTAGCCTTTGTCTTGTTTTTTTAATTCGTAAAATTGTGATGGAGACTCTAACAATAAAATGTTATACTCATGTATAAACTAACAATAGATCTAATGAACATTAAATGTAAACAATGGAGATCTAAGGTCTTGGTTTGATATAGGAAATATTTCAATAACTTACTCTGACAAACACAGGATAAAAAAGAACTATCTCAGGGATAAGCTTACAGCCATAGTACATAACTCCATGTAATATTGTGAAAGGCTGTGGGTTCTATGGTTGAAGTTGGAGGGATAGGGAGATCGGGAGAGTGGAGTGCAGGCCGGTGGTCCCACAGTAGGTCCCTTTTTTTCCCCTTATCTTGCACATATTTAAATAACTGGGTCTGTTTTTTATTTGTTGTTCCAAGGAGTTTAATTTCATATTGTCTACTTTTTTACTTTAGAGGTTATGAAGGGCATTAGCAGCTCACTGCCTCAACCGATATTGCCTTTTCTGACATCCCAGGAGAAGCTTAAAGTGACTATATAGCCTTATGTTATGTTTAAAGACTGGGGCATTTCTTGGACATATGGCTTCCTAAACACCATATCAGAGGACAGGAAAACCAATGTGTTGCTCCGCCTATAGTGGACTATTGTCTTGTCTTCTTGTCCAGTTGACTATGTTCACTCAAACATGTCCACAACTGTTGTAACTTCAATGTTATGATTTTTTTTTTTGTACTGTTACATTATTGTAAAATTGGTACTTTTATGTAATTGTTATATACATGTGATTCAGTACTTTTTTGGTACCTGTCCTAAGTAAGGAATAAAAAAACAACAAAGTAAAATAAAAAAAAGTCTGCTTACCCTGAGACAAATTGTTGCCATATTCCATCCTTGTCAAGTTTAGAAACCTTTATACCTATGTTGGCAGCTGGGGTTCCCCTCACTGCATCCAAAACTTTCACCATCAGAGGACACTTGGAATCTGCAGCCCCATGAGTATCATGTGCCTTTAATGGAAGAAAATTTAGAGTTCACTAGCCATGAATATAGATGTAAAGCAAATTGAAAATCTATACGAAAGCATTTTAATTTGTGATTACTTTGATGATATTCCCACTGCCATCTGTAGCCAAAATCCATCCACTATTTCTTGTCTAAGCTGCCTTAGTATCACTTTTCAAAAAGTACTCAATGTTGGTCAGATCATCTTAAACTTGCCATGTATGATGAGTATCAGAAAATGTACAAAGGGATACATATTCTAAAAAGCATTCTTACTAAATTTGTTATGGAGTTATCAGTGGAGTTCCCACTTTTCATTGTTAAACAATTTTTAGAACCATTTTCTGTTTGATACTCTGGTTAATGCTTCTGCATCAACCAGAGCAGACATGGGTGGCAGTGACAAACTGGCTCTCAGCCAATCACTGCTGACCATCTCTGGTATGAATTGGTATTGGTCATACCTCCAGTGTAGGACAGAGCCACAGGCACACAGCAACCATTATTCAGTGTCAACCAATAGAGATCAATGAGATGAAGTGGCTATGTTGTCTAGAGTGTACCTTTAGGGGATTATTGGGGAGATTCAAACAATTTAGTAGCTTTTTGTGGATCAGTGTTTTGGCTGCTTTGTTTACAAACCATACAAATTACATCTGGATAAATAGTATTGCATAATATCATCAGTTGTGGAATCTAAGTGATATACATAAATTCTAAGGTAAATCAAACGACCAATAAAATAATTGTTTGGGAATTTTGTGCAAATACACATATAGACTGACTGCATACAGACATAGCCAAGCATTAACGTCATTGGCTATGTATTTAAACTAGATCATATTGATAACTTTAAGCTGAATCGCTCTTTTTAGACCTTTTACACCTGTGCACGAACAACAGGTATAGCTGTAAATCATAAAAAAAATGAGTAACGGATATATGATCAGCTGCAATATATGAAATACAGCCATTCTAATGTATACAGATAAATCACATTCAATTTATTCACAAAAATGTGTGTTACTAAAACTTTAGTTCAAAATAGTTAACTACAAACATTCTGTCTAGCCGTAAAAAATGTGAAATCAAATTTTAATTCCTGACAATTCACAGTTTAGAGAATGATACTGATAGGTTGTTATGCACATAATACTCATAATTAAATAATTAAACAGAATGTTATTATGGTTAGAAAACACATGGCTAAAATACCACTGCTGGGGAAAAATATCTTATTTCAACTGACCTGGAGATTCTTTTTCCATCCAATATTTCAGTCTAAATTTTTAAAGATATTTTTATGATAGTTAATGATTAATCAGCATAAAATATGTGAGAGATATTTCATACTTTTGCAACATAAGTGTTTATATTTGATTACGCTTATCTGACCTCAGTAGAAAAAATATCTGGAGGATGGAATGTTGAAAAATTTAAAATCTAGTTCTTGGACAGTGTCTCCTTTCAGATGGTAAACTGACTTCTGTTAGTAAGTCTGAGCTTAAATAAAGAATTAAAAAATAGAAAGTTGGAGATTAACGAGGTTATTAACAGAAGTGAGAATTGATGGGAATTTTGAGCAAATTTTACATTTAAGGCCAGAGTAGCCGAACTGAAAGCATGGCTAACATAGATAATGTTATATTTTAACCCCTTAAGGACCAAACTTCTGAAATAAAAGGGAATCATGACATGTCACACGTGTCATGTGTCCTTAAGGGGTTAACCTTGATTTTGAAAAAAAAATGTGAATTCTCAGTTTAGTAAATAATCCTCAAAGTGGATTTCAAAATTTAGGCCAAAATAGATCAATCATTCAAGTTAATTATGTTTTCAGTTTTGCAAGTTTGATCTTAAATTTAAAGTTCCCAACAATTCTCACTTTATTGAATAACCCTGTATGTGTTATAATCTTTATCTGACACATTTACTGAAAGTATTTATCATTAAAGCATTCATATCGCACACACTTGCAGATTTTCTACTGTTTTGCTTTTTTGCCTTGTATGTTTTAATAATTAAAATTTTTATGCATAGCTTCAAATAGAACTGTTAAATAAAGTTTTATTTATAATGGTAAGTATTCTGTTTATGTTGATATTTAGCTTTTTACGAATTCTATATGTGAATTCATGACCAATCGCTGATACAATCATATTTGTAAATGGCACACAATTTAGCTTGAACTAGTGAAATTGTAATAAACCTCAAAGTTGAATAATTTTGGTTCTTTCGCTTCAATTTTGGAATCTAATTTCCTCTCACTTTTGTCAAACTAAAGTAAAAATAATGAGGCAGAATAATTTCGAGATAAATTTCATATTTAAAACGAAAAATCTAATAAATTATAAACTGTTGTAAAAATACAAAAATGGGATTAGCCTAGTATGAGCCCACAAACGATAAAATGTGTTTACATTATGTGCTAAATATACTTTCTATTCTAAAACATTTTATACTCTATGGTTAGACTTAAGATACTTTTTTTGTATTGTATGTTATCTTTAACATTTTATTTGAATCTAACCAACTAAAGAAAGTTTTCATTTTTTTTAAATTTAATTATTTAATTTTTGTCATAGATATACTTACCAACGGTGCAGCATCAGAAAGAATGAGCAGTGCTGATAATAGAGCAAGGACATTAAAATAAGTCATTCTTCTTGCAATGTTGTGCAGAGATATATTTGTCTGTCAGTTAATCAACACAAGGTTACTGTGAAATCACAAAATAAGGGTACTGAGTCCTTTTATATCAGGTAACCTGCTGACTCAGATTATTTGCTTACTAAACACAAGGAGAATAAGTAACTCATACACAGCCCCTTTCTGGAGAGATTATTGAACTCTTGCATTAACTCTGAGTGTTATTTTATATGGGCAATGTATAGGGCTCTAAGTCCGTTACAGAAAAATAAGGAATGATGTGGTTTATTGTTTTTTAAAAAAAATCACACATATTTGCAATTTGTGTTTATATTTATTTTGTTTCCTCTCTAAATATTTTGACCAAAATGTTTGACCATTTTTAATCATAAATTGTAATTCATGCAATTGGAACATGCCAAGCACCATAACCACTACAGCCCATCATAGTGTACTATGTGTGCCCTGGCACCATTCCACGAGACAATGTCAAACTGTTTTAGCATGATCAGATTTTTTACTGTAGTCACCATTATTAGGGACAAAAGAAGGACACTTTATGTAGTTTCCAGATTACTGTTGGGTTTTAATCACGGTGTGTAGAATGTATAGAAGAGCGAAACACGTTTTAGCAGATCTGGACTCCATTTTGGACTTTTACTTTATATTTATTTTTATACTATATGTGTTTTAATTTGTAACTTAATAAATTCAAAGTTATTTAAAATCAAGTCCTTAAAGCCTTCAGGAATCTTCATTGGGGGAGTGCCATCCCCAGAAAGTGGCATCTTGCTGATCCCCCTTAGAGCCAGGAATTTAAGGCTCTATAAAAGGTGAGCGCTATACTTACCTTAGTTGTACTACCTATATCCTAAAATGTACCGCACATTTGGTCACTTCTTTCTCCCTTTTTTTTTTTAAATTTCTCTTGGAGGAACATCAGTGAGGAAGTGATGTGTTGCTGCCCTAAGAGCAAAAAGGCCAATAACATACAGTCTCCAGACCATGTGAGTGGTTCTATTTTATTTACCCATCACCGATTATTGTCCAAAACCATCTGCACTATAAACTTTATATTTTCCGTTTTTTCCATATGTATGGTTTGCATTCTCAAGTTTGTTGTCACTTTGAATTTATGGGGTAAGTTTAACCCCTGCACTATCCTTATTTTACAGTGCTATACTATATATATATATATATATATATATATATATATATATATATTTCCTGTATATCTAAGATTTATTATGGAAATAGGGTATTCCACTGCGTGTAGAGCTGCTTCATTGTATCACTTACTACCTCCTAGTAGAGGTAGATTTTGTTCTTTTTGTTCATACTGGTATTGGTTGACGTGGGATGTGTAGTGTAATTGGTTACTATTCCAAGTTCATACTGGTATTGGTTGACTTGGGGTATATAGTGTAATTGGTTACTTTCCAAAACCATACTGCTATTAGTTTGCTTGGGCTCGCTGTGCTGTTTGTGAGGGTGTTATGTTGGAGGACCCGAAGGGGAATTTTGTGTGCCACTGTAACCCTATTGTATATAAATTAGGCTGTAGGGGTATAAATAGCTGTTTTTAATAAAGTGTAGTTGTTGTTTTACTATACACCAGTGGGGAATTGTGTGTAAGGGGCACAGTGTGTGCATGGAGGGGCAATGTATGTGTATGGGGGGAAGTATGTGTGTATGGAGGGGCATTGCATGTATATGGGGACAGTATGTGTGAGAGATATAATGTATGGGGGGCTGTGTATTGGTGCAGTGTGTGTGTATGCAGGGACAATGTATGTGTATGGGGGCTGTGTATGTATGGAGGGGCAGTGTGTGTGTATCGGGGGCAGTGTATGTGTATGGGGACAGTGTGTGTATGGGGGGCAATGTGTGTATGGAGGGGCAATGCATGTATATGGAGGGTGGTTTGTGTGTATGGGGGCAGTGTGTGTGAGGGGTACAGTGTGTATGGATGGGCAATGTATATATATGGGGCAGTATGAGTATGGAGGGACTATGTGTGTATGGGGAGGGCAGATTAACAAAACTATACTTTTATTTTATATTTATTTAAAAAAAATATATATATATTTTCAGTACTAATCCCTGGTGGTCCGGTGGACAGAACTATTCCCTGGTGGTCTGCTGGATAATCCCTGGTGGTTCCAGTGATGAGAGTGAACATTTTTGGCAACAATGGCATTGCTCTGAGCTCAGGAGAGGAAAACCTGGTGGAGCTGCAGGTTAGAGCTTTCCCAGGTCCTCCCTCCCCTTCCGGCTGCAGCATTTCAGTGCAGCATTTTCAGTGCAACATTTCAGGTCTGCAGAACCGGCAGGGGAGAGTGAGGCTCGGTTCCTGGTGCTATGATCATAGTACCAGGGAAATGTTTTGTGGCTCCCCTGTGTTGTGCCACAGTTTGGGAAACGCTGCTCTACGCTATGTGCGCTCTAGTGTTTGGGGAATGAGCTATGATCACTAAATAGCGACTTTCTCCTGTAAGAAGAATCTTCAGGCGGAGATACTTGACCTGAGTATTTGGCTCCATAACAAAGATGTTAGACTGTTTTACCTGGGTGCCACCAGGTCCTCACACCTCATCCAGTCTTTTTCAGCAGTAGAAGTCAAATTGCTCTGTAAAGCAGGACCATGCTTTTCAAGTAGCTCCATAATGTTGATGTGTCTTAATGTATAACAGAGCTCCACAGCAATAATACTTACAGTAATGTGTCTTTAAACCACAATAAAGGTGTTTAGGAATCAGTCTGTCTAAATAACATACATTGTTCTTGTTATAAACTATATTTTAGTTGCTTAAATTGTTATTAGTAAGTCATCACAAATTTCACAGAACAGCCCATCCCACGGGAACATCCCACTCACACCGATAAAGTTAAAGTGTCCCTCTTTGTCCATTTGATATGTTTGAAGGGATGTGGTGCAGAGAGCCGATATGGAATGTGTGAATGGGGTTAATATAGACGGTGGAAAGTGATGCTATCTGGGCACGATTTGACCGCATTTAATATTTTGCCTGTACTAGCTTGCCAGGCAACCATAGTTAGATCGGAGGAAGTCGTCATACTGGCAAAATCGCGTCATCGCACCCTGACGTTGTACGCACTCAGCTTTGGCCACACCCCCCACATAATCAGTGTTTTGGCAATCACTCTATCCATGGGATGGGAGGCGAGGAGAAAATCTCTTATAGCTTGCTGCTTTTTAACTATACTTCATAATAAAGTTTGGATTTTTAACATTACCACAGCTGAGTCTATAGTGGTAGATCTTGAAGCCATTACAGTTAGAAGCTTCTCTGCTCTACACTTGTGAGTGTTCCCTTCTGAAGTAGTTGTATCCAATTTCTGATTATTTTACAATATTGCCCTATGTGGCCTTTTTCTGACATGTGTCCTTTCTATATGGAGCCAACTAATATCATTTCATGTTATTATGAACATGTTAGCATGTAAGTAAAATGTGGCACTTTACACTGATTTTTGCACAGTATTGCAGCACTTTATTGTAAATTTGTAAGTGTTTGTTGCACTGTTGCAGATAAATCATTGCACATAATATCCGCACTGTAGAGAGAAAATAAGCATTTGCACAATAATTATATATACCTTTTAAGTATTTGGTTTGAAATACAATATAGTCATAAAGGCACAGCACACTTTAATTTTTCTTTCCATTTAAGAGAGTGTTTATTTATGCTAGTACACTGTGTGAAGTGCACCTTCTTTTATTTATAAGTTTCTTTGGTCTGTTTCTAGCACCATTAGTGGTTGTGTTTTTTTAACCATAGTTATGACTATATCACTACATGGCTTGCACGTGACATCAGGGCTCTTCCAAGAGTCCTGATGGACACCCACACTGGTGAATAATGGCTCTAAGATCTGGAGGTAGAGGGGTTCCAGGGTGAAGCGTGTTGTGTCTGATTTATGCACTTCGTAAGAGTGAGTTACATTTGGAGTATAAAGGCATAGAAATCGATAAAGAACAATGGTTTCAAATGTTTGCATATACAATGTTCTTCTGTTAAATATGGGCCACACAAATGGGCCTTTTATACACCATTCACACCTGCCAGTGCCTGATTTGTTTGATGTTGAGCACAAATGGGGGAGGGGGGAACTTGGCTATGGAGAATTGGCAACATCAATAATAAAAAGGTGCAGAGCATATTAAAACGAGGATTGAACAGCAGATGTTGTCCGACTCATTTACTTGATTCCTGCAGAGGGACAGATATGGAACAACTGGAGGGAAATTAATTTCTCTTATATTAAGGACAACACTAGAACAAATTGAAAGGTAAGTTTGTGTAACGAGAATATACCCCTACACGCAGGATCCAGCTAAACAGAGGCAAATACAGAGGAGAGATACGTCTACCGGACCTTAGAATGGCCGGACTCGACGTATATGAGAGGAGACAGAGCCAGGAACAAACCGAGGTCAAGGGCACAGAGAGACAGCGTAAACTAGGACAAGCCGGGGTCTGGTACACGGAAAACAGCAAGCCGGCAAACAGTACAGATAAGGATAAAGCGAAAACGAAGTCAGAATACGAAGCCAAAGTCAATACGAGAAAACACAACTGAACACCACAAGCGCTAAAGGGAACTGAAACAGAAACCACGATAGGGCAACGAGCTAAGGGAAAAAGGTAAGTTTAAATAGCTTTTAAACGAAAGTGATTGGCTCCTGTCACTTCCACACCCCCTATAGGTAATTGTATAGGGAGTGTGGTATGACAGGAGCCAATGGGAGCCTTTTGGCAATTAGGCTCCCACTGTCTCTTTAAGAGCGCGCCCGAGACTCGCGGCGCGCTCTTAGTTTCAGGCGGGACACGTGACCGCTTCACGCGGTCACTGCCCGCCTTCCATCCAAAGCAGTCGGACGAGCCGCGCGCGGCTCGTGCAGCCGCAGGACCGCGCGCGGCTTGAAGAGAGGACCGCGACCGGCCCCCGGTTAAGGTAAGTAACGCTACAGTTTGGCTTTATAGGTTATTATTTTATATTGCTTTATAAAACAAAAGTAAACACAAGTTTACACTTTGTTGGTAGGGAAAATGTTAATTATTGAAGATTTTTAATTTATGTTTGGTTTTTCATAAATCTATTATACACAAATGCCAATTTATTACAAAACCTATTTTTGATTAGTATTGTTTGCAAAGTAAAACCATTCTTTGCTTCAGACTGCCTTTGTGTTTGCTGTATTTATTCACTTTCACCCAATTTCACTGGAATGCTAAATCTCTTTCAATTTCATGCTCCTCTTGTTGCCAAATAGAATTTAAAATAAGATTAGTGCGGCTTATCCATTTTAAAATGTGCACATTCCGCCTAAATTTCGTGAATATTTTAAGCTTCTGTACAGGCAATTATTTTTACTTTATAAGCGGCAATGAGCAGCTCTCCCTTAAGTATCCTTTTGTTAAATGACAATATGAACTAAAATGTAATACAAAAGACAAAGTGGCAATATTGCAATACAATATCTTAAATTATATAACAACCCATGTACTAAGAGTTATACATTTTGGAAAATATACAAACCAAAGTAAATAAATGTTTTTCTTTTTTGTGTTTTTAATAGAGCTAAGTGACATACTGAGGGACTTCCTGTTGCCATTCCCTTGTTCAAGGACAGACTACTATGTATCCAGCTTTTCAAAGGGCTTGAGGTCTTATCTTTTATTGACTTTAGGACACTATTTTCTACCTTCTTCTTGGTGTGCACCACCTGTCTTCGGATGCTCCTACTGGCATCATAGTATAATAACATGGTCTTGGCCCTGCCTAACATTTTCTTGATCTCTGTGGCACTCAATTTCAAGTTATCTTGATCCCTCTGATTAAATGTGGCATTGGTTATCTGTTCATTGGTCTTTGATGTTTCTCATGCCTTGCCATTTTCTCCCCTTGTATCACAGGCTCTTACTATTCGTTTGTGACTTAAAGCTCGTGTGTTTTTATTTCCTAATATGTCTACAGGACTGGTATTTTTTATCCTCCTGCATCGTGCTGTTATTCTTCTTTTTTGATAAAGACTTGGTGTGGAGGGAGAGGATGACCAATTTTAGATCTTCCTCCTTAATCCCTTCGAAGGAGGTAACCCCATTTGAAATTGACAGACATCAATTATTATTTAAGAGTGTAATGTGCACAAATTGTATTATTGGATATATCTCTCTGTTCTTTATTTTTTTTGTCTCCTGTTAGTGTTTCCCTTCTTCTTTTTCTTTTCTTACTCTTTTTCCTCTCTCTTGCCATTCCATAAGTGGTGGTGGGTTCACATGGTGGCGAGGACCGAGTGTGTGATCATAGCTCCTTGGGCTTTGCAATGCCTCAGCCATTTTCCAACACTTCTTGAATTATGTCAGAGTCATTCAGCAGATTTTCCTCACTTGACCATACTCCTACACATCTGTGAACATGGTTTATATGCAAGGCTCGAAAAAATTTATGTTTGAAGTGTCATGTGAAATTTCTGGCCCTGGTCAGATCCAAATGAACCCTCATAAAATCAACAACATTCTCGAGTGGTCTACTTCTAAAGTTAAGAAATAGGGATGTGCATGGTGAAAATATTCAGTTCGGTTCGGCATTCCGAAATTCGGGACTTTGGCAATTCAGAACTTCTGCTCTTTGGAATTTCAGGACTTCGGGACTTCTCTTGCAGCCGCTTAGTAGATAACTCCCTAATTCCCACGGTATTAGGGAGCTATCTACCAAAAGGCTGAAAGACCTAAATTGGTCTTTCAGCCAAATTTACTCTTAAATTTACTTAGTATTAGTCAATTTTGCCTCTACTCGCTATACCGCAAATAGGGGCATGTCTATTAAACAGTGAGCAGCCTGTGGCTGCTCACTGTTAAAAAACAAAACCCCCCCAAAAAACGTGTCCCCCCTCCCGAGCCTCCACCCACCGCGTGAGTGGGGGCATTTAAATTGAAGGTGGGAACTATTGCCCCCCTGGCCCCTACCCCAGAGCGGCGGATGGGGGCTCTAAACAGAAAAATGGGAGGGAGGGTACCTATTGTCCTCCCCCCGGCTCCCACCCATGAGCGGCAGGTGGGGGCCCTAAAGTAAAATAAGGGGAGAGGACCTATTGTCCTCCCCCATGGTGCCCACCTCTGAGCAGTGGGTGGGGGCCCTAAATTACTTCAAGGGGGCCTATTGTCCTCCCCCTGGCCCCCACCACCGAGCGGCGGGTGGGGGCCCTAAAGTAAAAATATGGGGGGACCTATTTTCCTCCCCCCGGCCCCCACCCATGAGCGGTGGGTGGGGGCCCTAAATTAGAATAAGGGGGGGACCTATTGTCCTCTCCCCAGCCTCCACCCCTGAGGGGTTGGGAGGGGGCCCTAAATTAGAATAAGGGGGGGACCTATTGTCCTCCTCCCAGCCCCCACCCCTGAGTGGTGGGTGGGGGCCCTAAATACCAATAAGGGGGGACCTATTGTCCTCCCGTCCCCCACCCCTGAGCGGCGGGTGGGGGCCCTAAATTAGAATAAGAGGGGGACCTATTGTCCTCCCCCTGGCACCCACCTATGAGCGGCAGGTGGGGGCCCTAAATACCAATAGCGGGGGGGAGCTATTGTCCTATTGACATTGAGAAAAAAAACTAATTGTGCGTGACTAATTAGAAAGCCATACAATGTTCAAGGTTTTTCACAAGTACTTGCTCCTATCACAGCCCCCAGAAAGAAACAATATCAGTTAATTCTGCTCAAGAAGCCTTTGCAAACAAAAGTTCAGTTTTGTCCAAGCTCCTATTCTAACTAATCCAGTCAAACACAGAAAAGGTTTTCTTCCTCTGCCTCAGATATTGCCATTTCTGATATTCTGTCCCAAAGAGAGGAAAAGGATGATATGCTCCATCCTGTAGCCTATTACTCCTGGAAATTAACACCAGATGAGGAGAATTATGATATGGGCGAACTGCGCTATTAGTAGTAACATGAACACAGATAGAATGGTGACATCTGCTGTCTTACCTTTACGTTGTTTAGAGACCTGTCTCATATCAGGTCCATCCAGTGTTCCATATCTCCCTTCTCAAGCTCAGGAAAGCTAACCAATTTCAACATTGTAATATTGCTCCTCCACCGGTTGTTGTCACCAGTCTGAGGGGAACAAAGTTCAAGAGATCCTTGACTCCAGAAGGCGCAGGGGTTGTCTTGAATATTTAATCTATTGGAAAGGTTATGGCCCAGGGAGCGATTTTGGGAGCCGGACGGGAATGTTCATGCTCCTGCCAAGATTAATGCTTTCCATCATAGACATCCTGGTCAGCCAACCGAAATTCGCGCCCTGAGGTCCCACTGGCACCTATCCCGGGGCTCTCACAGCATCCTGGAGGTGTGCCTCTGGGGGCTCCACCTCCAGGGGATGAGGACCGGTCACATGACTTACTCTGCCTCTAAATACTCAAGCACTGCACTTGGTCAGTACTTGGTTGTTCTGGTGCTTGCTACAGTCTCCTAATATCCTGATCCTGGTTCCTGATTAATTCTTGTTCCTGGTTCCTAATTCTTGTTCCTGGTTCATATTGCTGGTTCCTGGTTCTTGATTCTTGTTTCTGGTTCCTGATTCTTGTTCCTGATTCCTGATCCTGGTTACTAATTCTTGTCCCTGGTTCCTGATTTCCAATAAGCTTCTCGGCTTCTGACTCTTGACTTTGACCCTGACAACACTTCTTGTTTTCAACCTTTGACCTCTGGCATCCTTCTCTCAATTCGTGGATTCTGGCTGTTCCTCTGGTGGACTCTGATCTCTGGTCCTTCCAGACTTCAAAAGAAGATTTTGTCTGGCAAGACCATAGACAGAGGACTTTTGGGAGTCCTGGTCTTGCCTAGCCTTATAGATTGGCAGCCCGACTTGGATAGTTTAGAGTCTGATCTTCCTAATTTTTTTATGACTTCCTAAATGTGTCACCACTTTTTAAGTACATAGTGTCCAGCCAATGTCAGTTCAATGATGATTTGGTATAAATACTGTTAACTACTAAGACTTTCGTCCTCGCAAGGCACCTTCTGGTTTTTGTGGGAGGTTCTGGTTAACAAAGACTTAGGGATTTGTCCATGGATGATTCCTTTATCTCTTTTTATATTTTGAGGTCCAGAGCTCATTTGACCCTTTCTGGCTTTTTCAGATACGTTCAACTTGGAAATTTTGCCCTTGAGATTATTCCTTTGTCTGAAGGAGACGTATATCAATGAACTTTTTTGCTTACTGTATTCTCCATTTTAGTCTTGCAGGTCCACCATTATGTCATGAAATGGGAAAATAAAACAGGGGGTAACTTTACAAGAGAGGACTGGATAGATATGTTGCAATAACTGAATATCCAAAGGACTTATCTTTGTTTTACTTTGCTATTACAATACATTTTCTAACTTGCATTCCATTTGAAGAAGGTGTATTGGGAGCCCCCTGTAAGCCCAAGGGTCGCTTTGAGACACTATATCTTCTGACATCCTGTGAGTGTAACCAGTATTGTCCTAGAGATTTGCAATGTTGCAATATTACACTATTGTTTGTATTTTTATATATTTTGTTTAAGAACAGTTGAAACCCTATTTGCTGTATGTATAAGGAGGATTTCTAGGAGGAGACTTAAAGGGATAGCTGCGAAAATTCACTTCTAGCACGTTAAGTATATTTTTTATACATTTTCTAGACTAACTGTAGCTTAATTCTACTATATTCCTTTTGACCTATGTTGGTGCTTATGTGGCCTAAAGTACGTACTTCCATATCTGAGGGTCCTGTCTTGACCTCTTTTTGGAACTCTGTACATTGCTTTTGCGAGTGTATTCGCTCAAAGCCTATCCTCCTGGACCCTTGGTCCTTCCTGATTGTGAAACCTATTGAGACTTTAAAGGGTTACTCCAACCTCCATGACCATTTCATTGATTTGAAGTCATCTTGGTGGTGTAGGAGTCTGTATGTGCAGTGTTTTAGCTTGAAACATTTCCTGCTGTTTGTTGTTCTTGAGGTTAGCTAGTCCATGATCATTCTGCTTGTCACGAGGACCACTATTTTTCACCTTGCTATAGTCCTTGGGCCTTGGTTTAACCCCTTAAGGACACATGACATGTGTGACATGTCATGATTCCATTTTATTCCATAAGTTTGGTCCTTAAGGGGTTAAGCTTAACCATTCTAAGGACTATCAATATGCCACTATCCATTTTTTCTCTGCCATATGTTCTCAAATAGCTGTGAGATCTCTATACATTACCATAGGATTCTGTTTGTTATTTTTGGATTTCCTCAAACAGGGAAGCCTACATATTACCAGGGTGAACTATCCATGTACCTGCCTGTATCATGTGGAACTAAACACTGTTCATGAAAACATGGTCAAAGTGGGCACTCTGTCTGTTTAGCTATTTTGCTTTGCAGCATTTTTGATCATTTGGAGAGTGGGCAGACAGACAGGAGAGAGAGAAACATTTCAAGTAGTAAGTAAACATGGCAGCAAAGCTTTTTGATAAGTTTACTTAAGTTTATATGTAATGTGATACACAAATTAAAACCCCTGTTTGGATTACCCTAAAAACTAAAGTTTCCTAAAGGACTCTTATTATTATTAATTCTTATTATAGAGAGTGCTGGCAACCAAGTTACTTGTTCAAAGGTAAAAGTTAATCATGAAGGAACTTATTGAAGCTTTGTTCCAATTTAAAGCACTGTTGGATTCAGGGAGTATGATCTTAGAGGTAGCCAAGTCTAATATTAAGTGTTGCCATAGATTGTCTGCAGAAAATAAACATTGTTTCGGAGCTCAGGATAGCAGTGATTATTGCCCTTATCATACCCTACTCAAGACTTAGTGAGGGTTAAAAAGTACACTTTTTTGGAACACAAAAGCCAGCATTTGTTGTACTCTGCTGTCATCTCTTCCCCAGATAAATTACACAGATACACCCGGCCACTGATCTAACAAAAAACATGATTCATCAGACCAAGCAACCTTTTTCCATATCTCTATGGTCCAGATGTGATGCTCATGTTCCCATTGAAGGCACTCTGACCAGTCTGTGACCACGCATCTCCATATGCAGCAAACTGCACTGTGTGTTCTTACACATGTCTATCATGTCCAGCATTACGTTTTTCAGCAATTTAAGCTACAGTAGCTATTCTGTACGATCGTTCTTGACGTGGTAGCCTTTACTCCCCATGTGCATCAATGATATTTGGGCACACATGTCCCTGATGACGCTTCACTGGTTGTCCAACCATGCACCACTTTTGGTAGGTAGTAGACACTGCATACCAGGAACAACCCACAAGACTTGCCGTTTTAAAGTTCCTCTGACCCAGTCGTCTAGCCTTCACTTTTTGGCCCTTGTTAAAGTCACTCAGAACTCTTTGTTTGTCCATTTTTCCTGCTTCAAATGGACCTTGACATTGTAACAATATATTATCAATATTATTCACTATAACTGTCATTGGTTTTAATGGTGTGGCTGATCAGAGTATATAGTTCTCTGTGAACAATTATGCAGTGTTGACATTATTACCCTGCTTTATCTACCAAAACATTCATGATTAATTTCAACTAATTGTATTAATCATCATATATGAAAAGCAATCTCCAGTCGGATAGCAAGGTTTGGTACAGGCTGTTAGGTATGCACTGATGCAGATACCCCCAAACTGTATAACATACACATGCAAATGCATGGATTTACACAGTGACACACAAAAACTATACTGAACACAGCTGTGCACTTACACATTCATTTATGCAGGTGTATACTGTGTTAATTTTGCTAATACTCCTACTCCTTGGCTGTGGCACATCCAATCAATAACAGTTGGTTTACAAGTACAGGTTTAGGCTTGTAGTTACTTATCTAAATGAGCTTGGAATGTTTCCAAATCTGGTAATTCTGGGTCATATACTCTGCCAACTAATAGAAAAGGCCTGTTTTTAGTTTCCTTAACAACAAAGAGAGCAACAAATCACCCTAAATAGAGACAAATTCATACCATGCATGTAATCTACATGCACAGAAAGGGGCACATCATGCAGAGTGCAGTTAATGTGCTCTCTTGAGAAATGATGCTTTTATTATGGACAAAGCAGGGAGTTTTGTATCATACAAATATCATACTATAATACTCAAGATGAACTTGGCCAGTAAAACTATATATTGCGTGACTATCACAAAGTAATCAAGAGGGATGCTGGTGGACATTTTATGGTTTTGATAATTAGTTTATGGATTAAAGGACCACTCTAGGCACCCAGACCACTTCAGCTTAATGAAGTGGTCTGGGTGCCAGGTCCAGCTAGGGTTAACCCATTTTTTCATAAACATAGCAGTTTCAGAGAAACTGCTATGTTTATGAATGGGTTAAGCCTTCCCCCTAATCCTCCAGTGGCTGTCTCATTGACAGCCGAGGCGCTTGCGTGCTTCTCACTGTGATTTTCACAGTGAGAGCACGCAAGTGTCCATAGTTATTAATGCTTTCCTATGTGACCGGCTGAATGCACGCATCTCTTGCCGCGCATGCGCATTCAGCCGCATGGGAGGTGGAGAGGAGGATCGGAGGAGGAGAGCTCCCCGCCCAGCGCTGGAAAAAGGTAAGTTTAAACCACTTTCCCCTTTCCAGAGCCGGGCGGGAGGGGGTCCCTGAGGGTATGTTTTCCTGGCACTATAGTGGTCCTTTAAGAAGAGCTTGACATCTTGATCACTAAGTAACATATCACTTTTCCTCAGGTATACAGAATGTATTATATGATCACTCATACGTACTATTCAAAAATGATAAAAATGATATAAAGTGACATTTGGCTAGCAGCAGGGCCGGCCTTAGGGGTGTGCGAGCTGTGCGATCGCACAGGGCGCCATGGAACAGGGGGCGCCCTGTGGCCGACACAGCTCACTCATGGCCGGAGTGCAGGGGAGCTAAAAGAGGTACCTGGCTGGAGGATTAATTATTCTCCACCCGGGTCTATTTAAAAAAAAAAAAAAAAAAATCGCGGCAGAGGGGGCGGGGTTTACCGAGTGGCGGAGGTGGGGCTTATCGAGAGGCGGAGACGGGGCTAATACCTCCCGAAGCCCCTGCTGTACAGGAAGAGGGAAAGATGCTTCCCCATCAGCCAACTGCATCCACTGGAAAGAGGTAAGTGTGTGTGTGTGACTGTTTGCCTGTTTGTCTGACTGTCTGTCTGTGTGTGTGTGTGACTGTCTGTCTGTGTGACTGCCTGCCTGTGTGCGTGTGACTGTCTGTGTGTGTGTGTGTGTGTGTGTGTGTGTGTGACTGTCTGTGTGACTGCCTGTCCTTGTGTGTGTGTGTGTGTGTGTGACTGTCTCTGTGTGTGACTGCCTGCCTGTGTGTGACTGACTGTGTGTGTGACTGTCTGTCTGTGTGACTGCCCATGTATGTGACTGCCCATGTATGTGACTGCCTGTGTGTGTGACTGTCTGTCTGTGTGACTGTCTGTCTGTGTGACTGTCTGTCTGTGTGACTGCCCGTGTGTGTGACTGCCTGTGTGTGTGAGACTGTCTGTCTGTGTGAGACTGTCTGTGTGTGTGACTGTCTGTGTGTGTGTGTGACTGCCTGTCTGTGTGTGTGACTGCCTGTGTGTGTGACTGCCTGTATGTGACTGCCTGTATGTGACTGCCTGCCTGCCTGTGTGTGTCTGTCTGTAACTATCTGTCTGTGTGTGACTGCCTGCCTGTGTGTGTGACTTTCTATCTGTGTGACTGCCTGCCTGTGTGTGTATAACTGTCTATGTGTGTGTTACTGTGTGTCTGTCTGTGTGTGTGACTGCCTATGTGACTGTCTGTCTGTGTGTCGCTGTAGCTGTGCCATTGTTTGTGCCTGTGCCTGTATGTGTGACTGCCTTTAACTGAGTGTGTGTGTACATGCCTGTAACCGAGTTTAAATTTCCCCCACCCCTTCCTGTCAAGGCCGCACTTCGACTGACAGACGCTCACTCACTGACAGACGCACACTCACTGACGACACATACACACTCACTGACGACACATACACACTCACTGACTGACACATACACACTCCCTGACTGACACATATACACTCACTGACCAACACACACATTCACTCACAGACACACACACATTCACTTACAGACACACACAATTACACACTTACAGACACACACACACACACACACATTCACTTCAAAATAAAGACTCACAGACACACACACAGACATTTCCACTAACACTCACAAACTAATATTTTTTACATTTATTTTAAATCCACCCAGCCTCCCTGGGAAAGCTGGAGTGGATTTCTTACCGGCAGTCCAGTGTGGCTGCTGGGCAGGCAGGCAGGGGGCGCACAGGCTGAGTAAGCAGCGCTTAGTGATGCCGGGAGCCGGACTGACGTCATATTCTGGCTCCCGGCTTCATTAAGCGGCGCAGAGGAAGCTGAGCAGGAAGAGCTCAGGTGAGTATGCTCCTTCGCTGCCTGCTGCCAGCCTTGG